ACACACGCACATAAAACTTTTGAAACAAATGTTTTTGATGTTGAAACACAGAATGTGAAAACAGAAAATTTAAATTAAAACTAATTAGTAAATAAAACACACACACATATATATACTTTTTTTTTTTTTAAGAGTTCCTATTTATTTATTTATTTTCAAAAAATTTGAAATAAGTGGGTAACAAAGGAAATATGCACCTAGAAATAAATAAATAAAAAATGAAAGACTTGAACATCTCCAATAGAGTGTCTACAACTGTATGGTCACTAAATTTATGGACAAATGACTTCCAATGGGCCGGATTTGAAGTCCTCAAAATATCTTAATATATAAGGATTTGCCAAATATTTTTTTAGGGACTCGAATATTCTTTTAAAGCTACTAAAGAGTCCTCAAAGTTTGTGGTAGGAGTCCCCATATAGAGGTGCTCTAAAGAAAAGAGAAAAATGTTAGGAAATAGGGTTGCCTCCACATAATCGATTTATTTAATCTGTGGAGACAATTGAAGTTCGGTGATTAGATCAATGATTATTTAAGAAACATTGACTTGTCGAAGGATGACTCTAAGTACGTTTCAACTTGAAGCCATTCATCTTGAATGTGTACCATTAAGCTCACCTTTAATATTAACAGCTCTAAGTGAGTGAACCTAGTAACAAGATAAGACCTATTCAATCGAGATTTGAAATTTCATGAAAATAACTTCTAACCTCAAACTGAATAGTAAAAACTTTTGCCATGGCTGAAAACGTTTTTGAGAATTTGTTTGTCATGGAATGTCTTTGTTTTTGAGAATTCATGTAATATTATTAATTGCACGTCCTCTATATGTTTCTTTGACATCTTATTTTAGTTCCTCCTGAGCCACGTGTCACATACATGAGTGAAGGCCAAGATGCCACGTGTGTGAGGTAGTTATAAACATCTTACTTTAGTTCTTCATTAGATTCATCCCTAGAGATTCATCTCAGACCCTCCAACCTATCCCACAACCAGGTGAGTTGTGACTAATTGATCCCATTCACAAACTCGACGAACACTAAACGGATAATAAGTCGTGTATAAGTTGATGGTTTACTTTTCTATATGTAAACATGTTGCAAGTTTCGGTACAAATTCATTGATCTTATCATCTTTTTTCCCCTACACTAATGGATTGCTTTCTCTTCCAGAACTCTCTCTCTATATATAAATATATGTATGTACGTACGTATGATCTCATTTATAAAGAAATGCCTGGAATTATATTGATGGGGCTATGTATGTCCTTTTGTTCTCATACATGATCATGAAGGACGAAATAGATCAAGAGTAAGTAATATAAATCTAAATTTGGTCTCGTACATGATCACGAAAAGATGAATAGATCATTAATATAAGTGAAAATATGACTTTAGCCCTTCAAACTCAATTTTCTTCATATAAAACCCTACATAACTTTTTTACTCAAAGAAAACCCAATGACTAGGATCCACATAAGCAAATTCATTAACTTCATATTAATTCACACATTTTACATTTTTCACATGCCTAAAATACCCCTATTACATACTTGATGTAGACAATTAATTGTAAGGAAATAGTAAATGATTTTGCAACAAGAAAAAAAAAAAGACATTAATGTTAAAAATTTATTGCATATTAATTTTTTAGAAAGGTTTTGAATTTTCATAAAACTATTCGATTTAGTTTTTTCACCCTACTCTTGAATACTTTTGAATTTATCCCTTTTTATTAATATATTAGAACATTGTATTTCATTATCTACATGCACATTAATTTACCTACAACAATTATACCATGGGTGTAATATAATATCTCTTTTTTACAATGATGCAAAATAATATACCAACAACAAAACGTGCCTAACATATGTACTAATTACATGGAAAATAATTTACCTATATTAAGAAGGAATGTAGTTCGATGCATAGTATTAAAAATATTATGTTACACCCATGTTTATAAAACAATAAAACATGCCTAACATATCTAACAATACATGGAAAATAATTTACCTACAAGTTAGAGAAATGTTATTTGGTTGGGTGTAGCATAAATTTTTTTAATAATTGGAAAAATTAAATATAACTAGGTGTCGTGTAATTTTTTTTTATATAATTAGAACAAATTAATTTACCTACATACTCTTTGAAATGTTCATTTCCAATGATGCAAAATGTTCATTACCTAACTACAAATTAATTTCCAATAATTTACCTACACCAATTATACCATGGGTGTAGGTACCAACAACTAAACTTGCCTAACATAAGTACTTGTACATGGAAAATAATTTACCTATAACAAAAGAAATGCAGTTTGATGTATAAAATCAACAATATTATGTTCCACTCATGTTTCTACAACAACAAAACGTGTCTAACATATATAACAATACATAGAAAATAATTTACCTACAAGTTAGAGGAATGTTATTTGATTCAAAATATATAATATAGGTGTAGTATTTTTTTTTTTAAATAATTGGAACAAACTAATTTACCTACCAATTAACATGGATAAAATTGCTACAAAATATATCACGAAAAAAAAAAAACTAATTTTCTAGTTTAACATAGATATGGTTAATGCAAACACTTTTTTCATTTTATTTCACTTTTTCTACTACTTTTAATTTGGCATAAATTTAGGAATTTGAAAAAGGGACCATAAAGTATGAGTGGCATGAGTGTAAATAAATTGCATTAATAGGTCAATAGTGTTACTATATGTTTGCAAATTTTAAATTAGGGCTTAAACTAGATCTTTAAAGATAGATGGGTTTTTATCTAGAAATAATGAATTGTAAGGGCCAAAATCTAAAGCACCCTTAATATAATTCTCAATTGCATTAAATAATACTCACTACCTTGAATACATTGTTAAATTAATAAAAGGAGCAAAAGAGAGACGAGGCTCACAATACCATTTGGTATCTTACAAATCAAAATGTATGAGCTAGCCGCCACCTGTCGCCGGTGAAACCAAAGTGCCTACGTACATAACCATTACTGCACGCCCAGACGAAGACGAAGCTCTCAATTTTTCAACATCAGAATTGTCGAGCACATTCCTGCATGTATCTTCCTTAGGCATATATAATACCAAGTCACCTCGATCCGATTCCATCAAAAGTGCACCATCGTCGAGGAATAAAGGATTCAACGACCACACATTAGGAGGGAAAATCTCCGGGCGAATTTTTGCAAAAATAGTCCAAGATTGATCGACCCCATATTCCATCATCACCCATAGGGTAAGGCCAGTGTCCTCAAAGTCAGGAAAATTTTGGGAATCAGGGCAGAAAGTGTGAAAGAAGAGACGATTTCCAGTAGTCCCCACTCCCGCCCAACTACATTTGTTATGCCTAATAGAGGAAAACGAATGAAATTTCTCCTGTGCGAAATCAAAGGACCTGATTATTGTCCCGTTATCGTGTCTATGATTCCAATGTAGAGCTCCATTTAAGAAGCACCCTCGTCTATCAATACCAAACGAGGCCGCAGGCTTGAGGGAGTCTACAACAATCTTCCATGAAGCCGCTTTGAGTGAGAAGATTGCAGCAAATCCATCTTTGGCACTTATACCGCCCAAAAGGACCTTGTAGTCTTGAGTGGTGGAATCGTAGCCGAATCCGTAATAACATGGTCTGAAACAAAACCAATCAATGTCCGGTACCTTACGGGCTGTTCTGGTACTAGGGTTCCACAAGAGAAGTCTTATATTTTCATAGTATTCCTTATAGTATTCAAGTGGAGGGTTAAGTAGTAGGCAGATGAGACCATTGCAAGAACCCACAAGTGATGAATCGTTGAGGCTAGTATCATCTGGAAATTCAGCTTCAACGTCTCTATGGTTGCTTCGTATCGCTGATGAAGAGGCAGAGGCGCAGGCGGCAACATTCTTCTTCAGTGATTGGTAGTCAATCAGTAGGGGAGATACAGAGGGGGGTGGTGGCGGGGCTGGTGGCGGCCAGTACGGTTTCGTGAGAATCAGGACATTCTTGTTGCTGTCGTTGGTATGTGCTCGGTGCTTGGCCACGAACTGGGGAGTAGTGATTAAGGCACGCCATGACTCGCATACACAACGGAATCGGAGGATAGATACGACCGGTAGCCATGAAAGTATCTCGACGATTATATCGTCATTGTTGGAGGACAAGATCGGCAATTCTCCATCATCACCCGCCATAATAGTAGAAAGCGAATGGCTGAAGTTTCGCACGTATTGATCGTTAGGGTTACAATATAAATGTAAATATATAGATATAGATATATTTATTGTGTGTGTATATATATTAGGAGTCCTATATATGCTTGTTCTAACAGGGAAAGGATAAATACAAATATGACTCCTACTAAATATAGGACTCCTAATATATATATATATATATATGCTTGTTCTCACAGGGAATGGATAAATATATATGCTTGAACTAATTGGATTAGGCGATTTCACATAAAAAGAAGAAAAGAACTTCTTTTTTTTGTTTTTTTAAATTAAAAGCAAAAAAAACTTAAATTAATTGAATGTTGTTGACAAACAAAAGACAATAAATTAAAAGTCTACAAAAAACCCGTAATAGCCATATTAATGTTGGTGGCATTGTGTTGTAAATAAATTTAAATGTATGGACATCTTTTATCTTACCTGACATCAAATTCAAAATTTAGGTTTTATTTAGATGTTTTAATATAGATGGGTTTATGTCTAGAGTTCAACAGTTATACGAGACTAAATCTAAAGCACCCTAAAAAGAATGACTTGTGAAGAGTTGATTAGGGTTTTAGGTAGCCCACGGCAAGAAACAGACTTGTTGTGAGGGGTTGATTAGGTAGCTCATGCAAGAAAGAGACTTGTAGGAAAACAATAAAAATGGGGGTATATTTAGGTGTTTGGACAATTGGGCTCAGGGCCTACGTCATTGGTATTCAAACTCAAGCACATGTATAAAACTGAATTACCTACCTCCATGTGTTACAGCAGCGAGAGGTCAAACAGCAACTAAAGGATCCTGTTGGAATTTATTAGGTTTATTTAAGAAATTAATTAGAGATTTGATTTGATTTTGTAGTAGGGTATTTTGGCATTTACGCATTAGGGTTCTTAGGTTTATTTCACTATAAATAGAGCTTGTAATTTAGTTTGAGAACAAGTTAGTTTTATTCGAGTTATATAGTCATCTAGGTATTTTCGATTATAAAAAGTATTATTCTTAGTTTTATATTGTTGGTCTCTCATTTTCAACATGTATCAAAGCATGTTTAATCGTTTGGGGTTGAATCTGTTCTTAGTAGCCAGTTTGTTTGTCTTGTCACGTTCCTCTTCTTCGTGTCAGTTTGTGTGTTAGTTTGCTCGGTATCAGTTTTGTTAAGGTTTTGTTCCCCAGCCGGCTAATACCATCGTATCATCCGCACCGCACCGCCGCCGTTACTCCGCTGCACCTTTGCACCTCAAGACTACCGCTGCCTGATCTCGCGCCTGACCTGTGTTTGTCGAAGTCAGTTACCTGCTTTGCGATAGCTTCTCTCTCCCTTCTTGATTGCCAGGTGCGGATCCATGCATTGTACTTATGTTTTTGTAATTTAATTATCCTCTTTGAAATTTCTGTCAAGGTATTTATTTTCCTGCATTTTAAAGTTGAAAAGTGCAGTTTTTGGAGTGAACACAACGGAACAATGGAATCAACTTTCATTTTCTAAAGACCGGCTCCAACTTTGTTGATGAATTTCATTCTCAATTTGAATTGGTTATCTACTTGAATCCATTTTTCTAAGCCTAATTAGTTCATGCAATTAGCGCTCTTTCATGTTTAAACATGCTAAATACTTTAGATTTGAAATTCTGTGTGTTGAATGTCAAGATAGAGAAACTTTTCTATAAAAAGCCTTCTGTACATTTATGCATTTGTTTCTATTACTTTGGGTAAGAACCGTGAAACTCTAATCTTAATTTTGTCCTCCTTCGAATTTAAGAGCGAAACTTGATGTATGTATACTCTTTTTTTTGCTGTGAATTATGCAAATTAAGTGTCTTTGGAGGTATTATGGGTATATTGTTCGAATTGGGGTTTTTAAAGTTTATCAAGAAATTTGATCTAGGTTTCATATATTTTGTGACTCACATTGTTTTTTAGCATTTTTTTCTGTCACTGACAATATTGGCAACAGATTTGTTAGTGTTAATTAGAGCAGCCATGGTTTTAATTTGCATCAAGTTTCAGCATTTTGTTCTAATTTTTGCAAGTTATTTGGTCAGCTCTTCATACTCTGATCACAATTGCTGAGAGTGTCAAGGGCAATGGAGTTGCTGTTGAAAAGAGTAAGTCGATATTTGACGAGTGTTGTGTTTGATTTCCAGTACTATTTTGACAAACATAATGGTTAATGTTGTTAGAAACTACCACATTGTTAGAAAAGCTGAAGAAACACTAGAATTTAGTGAGTCTGAAACGTTGAGGTTGACATTTAGGATTCTCTTTCTTTTAGAGGCTTGAAGATATCTCGATCTGCTTCAAATTTCAATTTTTGTGCCCCGTACGGTTTGTGTTGTGCTAAAAGCATGATTGTTTATGTTGGAGTGGTTTAAGGGAATGTCCAACTGAGTTGGGCAGTTTTTGTTCATTCTGTTTAGGTGAGCATCTTTGGAGGTATTGTGAGTATATTGTCCGAATTGGGGTTTTTAAAGTTGAAATTTAATCTGAGATTCTGAATTTTTTTACAACTTAGTAATTTGTGGAGTTTTTCTTAGTTTTTATCAAGAAATTTGATTTAGGTTTCATATATTTTGTGAAATTAGATGTTTTTTTGTGAAGATTTTTTTAATATATTATTGTGAAAGTTAAAGCAATTTATGTGTCTGAAAATGCTCGAGAGTTGAATGTGACAAAGTAAGCACATCAGCATGTAAACCTGAAACCAAGAAGCTCAAACCCCGAGAATTCGATGGTTAGTCCTGTTTTTCAGATTTGTTTGCTTCAGTTAATTTTGTTGTAAATTAATTAATAATATATTAGAGCGACACCCTGTTGGTTACTGTGTTTTTTTTTTTTTTTTAATTTTTTATATAGTTAATAACATGTATTTTCTGTTCGTTGCATTTAGAAGTAACCAACCTTAGTTATGCGACTCAAAATCTGGGGCAGCTTCTGGACCTTATTCTCAGGAAGGTAACATTTTTATGTTTTTTTCCTTTTTTTTTGGACCCACCCACATGGGAAAATTTCTCATTTGGTTTATTTATTTATTTAATGTTGTAAACTCAATCAATGTTAGAAATAGCTTTTTGATTTTTATCAATGGGCACGATGCTTCAATGTTAGAAATAGCTTTTTGATTTAAAACTGCAGGTAATATATTTTTTTAGGAACTCGAATATTCTTTTAAAGCTCCTAAATGAGTTCTCAAAGTTTGTGGTGAGAGTTCCTGTATAAAGATGTTATAAAGAAAAGAGAAAAATATTAGAAAATAGGATTGCCTCCGCATAATCGATTTATTTAATCTATGACAGTTGAAGTTGGATGGTTAGATGAGTGATTACTTAAGAGTTATTGATTTGTCGAAAGATAACTCTAAGTACGGTGTCAACTTCTGGCCATTCATCTTAAATGTGTACCATTAAACTCACTTTTAATATTAACAGCTCTAAATGAGTGAACCTTGTAACAAGATAAGGCCCATTCAACCGGGAGTTAAAAACTTTTGCCGTGGCTGAAAACTTTTTATAGAATTTGATTGTGATGAAATGTCTTTGTTTTTGCAGAATGAAGATGGGGGATGGCGTCTACATATTGAGGGGCCAAATGCTATGTTTGTGAACTGTTTTTTATATATTGCACAGTAAGATGATGATTATATCTCTGGTGTCCACTCGAAATCTCTGGACTCTTCTGCTTCGTTCGGTTTTCTGTCAACCAAAAATGCAAATCCCTGCTTCTCGAACACACTCTCTCTCTCTCACCACCAGGCTCTGCTGCGGCGTCAAATTCTGGGCCTCCATCGACGTCGTTTTCTAAAACCCTTTCTACTCAAGGTAAAGTTATTCTAGGTTTTAGTCCATATTCAGATCACCCCCAATTTCAAAATTTTAGGGAATTGATTCGTTTTCCTGTTGCATGTTTAACATTCATCTGGGTGATGGTGGTTTGAGGGTGTACAAACTGGAATTGCTGATGGTAGGCTTGAATTTGGCCAAATTTGGGTAAGAATCGTGAAACTCTTAATCTTAATTTTGTCCTCCTTCGAATTTAAGAGCGAAACTTGATGTGTATATACTCTTTTTTTTGTTGTGAATTATGCAAATTAAGTGTCTTTGGAGGTATTATGGTTATATTGCCCGAATTGATGTTTTTAAAGTTTATCAAGAAATTTGATCTGGGATTCTGAATTTTTTTTATAACTCAGTAATTTGTGGAGTTATTCTTAGGTTTTGTCAAGAAATTTGATCTACGTTTCATATATTTTGTGACTCACATTGTTTTTTAGCATTTTTTTCTGTCACTGACAATATTGGCAACAGATTTGTTAGTGTTAATTAGAGCAGCCATGGTTTTAATTTGCATCAAGTTTCAACATTTTGTTCTAATTTTTGCAAGTTATTTGGTACAACTATTCATACTCTGATCACAATTGCTGAGAGTCTCAAGAGCAATGGAGTTGCTGTTGAAAAGAGTAAGTCGATATTTGACCAGTGTTGTGTTTGATTTCCAGTACTATTTTGATAAACATAATGGTTAATGTTGTGGGGATGCTACTGGAACAGGCATAAGCACCTCTACTGTTGTCTTGAAGCTGGATGGCGAAGATGGACGGATTGTGTTGAAGGCTCAGGTTCGTTATTTCCTTTTGATTTTACTGATCAAAGTTGTTATGTTACTCACTGCTGGACTTTTTGTAATAATTATTTGTTCCTAATACTAAAATGGTCCCTCTTTCTGTCTCATAGTTGGTGATTTTGCTGGGAAAGGCTGAAGAAGTCGAGGAGACTGCAATTCCTGTGGTTGCAGCGTGAAGGCATGTATGATTCAGCAGAGTTTGAGTTGAAACTTGGATGATGAGTTGTAGCTGGGTAATTCATTAGAATAATAAGGATGTGTATATGAGAGACAGGTTTAGCACTTTGATGTAAATAATGAGATTTTTTGCAGCTCACAGCTCTCTCTCTCTCTCTCTCTCTCTCTCTCTCTCTCTCTCTCTCTAAGGATGTGTATATGAGAGACAGGTTTAGCACTTTGCGTCCTAATACATGTTTTCTTACATGTCCTTTGATATAAATAATGAGGTTTTTTGCAGCTCATAGCTCTCTCTCAGCTCACACACGCACACATAAACAACCACATTGTTAGAAAGCTGAAGAAACACTAGAATTTAGTGAGTCTGAAACGTTAAGGTTGACATTTAGGGTTCTCTTTCTTGTAGAGGGTAGAAGATATCTGGATCTGCATCAAATTTCAATTTTTGTGCCCAGATTTTAGTGCCCTGTACTGTTTGTGTTGTGCTAAAAGCATGATTGTTTATGTTGGAGTGGTTTAAGGGAATGTCCAACTGAGTTGAGCAGTTTTTGTTCATTCTGTTAAGGTGAGCATCTTTGGAGGTATTGTGGGTATATTGTCCGAATTAGGGTTTTTAAAGTTGAAATTTAATCTGGGATTCTGAAATTTTTTTACAACTTAGTAATTTGTGGAGTTATTCTTAGTTTTTATCAAGAAATTTGATTTAGGTTTCATATATTTTGTGAAATTAGATACCTTTTTGTGAAGATGTTTTTAATATATTGTTGTGGTAGTTAAGGTAATTTAGGCGTCTAAAAATGCTCGAGAGTTGAATGTGACAAAGTAAGCAGATCAGCATGTAAACCTGAAACCAAGAAGCTCAAACCCTGAGAATTTGATGGTTAGCCCTGTTTTCAGATTTGTTTGCTTCAGTTAATTTTGTTGTAAATTAATTAATAACATATTTGAGCAAAACCCTGTTGGTTATTGTGCTTCTTTTTTTTTTTTATTATTATTATTTTTTTATAGGTAATAACATGTATTTTCTCTTCTTTGCATTTAGCAGTAATCAACCTTAGTTATGCGACTCAAAATCCAAGGCAGCTTCTGGACCTTATCCTCAGGAAGGTAACATTTTTATTTCTTTTCCTTATCATTTGATCAGGTTTTGGGTTTACGATTTCAAGTTGGTGCCATTAAGCTATCACCCTCAGACCTCAAAATTCAGGTGACCCCATGATTTTAATATTTCTTCTCATGTTTTGTCCAATTATTGTTCTATTAATTGTATTCTTTAGTTAAATAATGATTAATTAGAATGTCTAGTAAAAAAACTCAGGCATTGCAGTGTTTGAAATGATAATATAAATCCAATTTGGCCATTAGCCAGTCGGAGAACCTTATTTGGGAAGGAGGTTTTAAAGTTTCAATAGTTTCGTTGTGTGTAAATTTTTGTGCTTTGCCTACCGGAAATCTAATAACCAAAGGCTTACTTATGTTTCCCAAATGGTTTTTAACTGTATGTTTCGTTTCTTTACTATTTTCAGATGATATAAATGATCAGTTATGTGATGCTGTTAAGAATTAAACGAATTTTGCGATGCTCTTTAGAATGAAGGTTCTAATATATTTGATTTGCTGTCTACAGAAAAACCAAGGATTTGCCAAATATTTTAAAGAAATTTACAAATATGAGAACTCAAAGAGTGGACTCTATATTAATTTTGAGTTGGAATGTTGATGCTCTCTATGTGTTTTTTTTTCCTTGTTTTTTGGACCCACCTGCATGGGAAAACTTCTCATTCGGCTTTTCTTTTTCTCTTTTTTTTTTTAATGTTGTAAACTCCTGAAAAATCAATGGTAGAGATAGCTTTTTTATTTTTTATCAATGTGCACGATACTCCAACGAAATGAATGAGCCCTCATGAGCTTCGATAGCTAGTCACCCCGCCCAAGGAATAAAGTTTGTGGTGGGAGTTCCTATATAGAGGTGCTCTAAAGAAAAGAGAAAAATGTTAGAAAATAGGGTTGCCTCCACATAATCGATTTATTTAATATGTGGAGACAGTTGAAGTTCGGTGGTTAGATCAGTGGTTACTTAACAGTCATTGACTTGTCGAAGGATGACTCTAGTACGATTTCAGCTTGTGACCATTCATCTAGAATGTGTACCATTAAGCTCACTTTTGATATTAACAGCTCTAAGTGAGTGAACCTAGTAACAAGATAAGGCCCATTCAACCGAGATTTGAAATTTCTTGAAAATAACTTCTAACCTCGAATTGAAGACTAAAAACTTTTACCGCGGCTGAAAACTTTTTGGAGAATTTGATTGTTATGAAATATCTTTGTTTTTGCAGAATGAAGATGGGGGATGTCATCTGCATATTGAGAGGCCGAATACCATGTTTGTGGACTGTTTTGGTTCATATTTTGATATGGATGATAATATATTTTAATATATTTCAAACATTTAACATAGTTTTAAAACCCACGACATCGGGTGGGCTCAATTTCTAGTGTATTACTATATTTGCATGCATTTTTCATGTAATATTATTAATTGCACGTTCCCTTTATGTTTCTTTGGCATCTTATTTTAGTTCCTCCTGAGCCACGTGTCATATTAATTAGTGAAGGCCAAGACGCCACGTGTGCGTGGTAGTTATGAACCAGGCGGGCCAAGCAAACTAACTTTGAAACTTTGATTTCAGAATTTCAATCACAAGAGCTTGATTTGATTTTTTGAAGGAAGACGAAGAAACCCAATTACACAAACTCTCCGTTTCTGTAATCCTTCTGACTTTCAATGGCAGAAGTAGGGCAAGAATTTTGTATAATTGTGCTGTTGTATGTTTCTTTTGGGTAATTTGGTTGGATAGAGAGATACAAGGAGGAGAGTTCTTTGGGAGAAGGTCGGGTTATGGGCACCCAAATTCCTTTCATAACCTAGAGTGTTTGACCAGTAATACTATCATAAAAGAACATGTATGCAGTGCATGGAATCTAGCTTGCCTTATATCAACCGTTTGTTTGGTAATAAAGAGGCTTGGGTTTGTGTATCTTGCCTTGGCAAATCAATATTTGCTTGCTCAACATTTATTTTTAACACTGTATGTAGAGATCTATCCTCTCAAGATTCATTTAACCGAGGCAATGTACAGAATGATGTGGAGATATTTATTCCCAGAAGAACAAGATTCACAGACGGCAGGTATGTTGGAAATGTTACTGATTTCAAATTTGTGACTGCTAGAACTTTTCAGAGGTATAAATGGTTGTCCAATTGGTCACATGCAGGAAGTTTGGAAGGTTTCAACAACTGCTGGTGCGAAACGTGTGAAGAAAGGCTCACTAGTCCCAGAGATTTCTGCATTAAGCGGTCAGACAAATAAAGAGTCCGAGGCCTCATCCAAAGCAGGTGCCTCTGCCCCTGCTACCAGTCAATCCTGCGTTCATGCAGATCCTGTGCAAGTGAGATTCCTTCTCTTCTTTATTATGAAACAATATGATTACCGCTTCCTTATTTTCTAGATTATCATTATAACAGATTATTGGATGCCTTTTTTCTTTTTTATTGCACGTTTACTTTAAATCAACATTTGATGTTATACTAGAAGGGATATAGAGAAACTATCGTGTCCGTTTATTATCTACAATTCCGTATTGCGCTAATTTTCCATTTTTACTCAAATGCCTAATATCGTATTTCCACAGGTTGAGCTATGTGTTACTTACGAAGGATCTAGATTTGTTGCAAATGATCTTAAGTTGCTGATGGATACATTTCACCGTATTGAGTTCACCGGCACTTGGTGGAGACTCTTTTCGCGGGTTAAGAAGCATATCATTTGGGGAGTCTTGAAGTCTGTGACGGGAATGCAGGTCTGCATTTATACCTTTTAATATTTACCCCTGCTGATTATCCGTACAAAAATCCAATGAGCTAGGGCTCTGTCTTCCCTCTTCAACACCACAGTTTAGTTGAATTTTCCCTACTATTATAATTTAACAGCAGGAAAATTGTTATGAAAACATCGATCTCTAACCTGCTTTAAATTATCACCGTCAATTTTTTCAGGGTAAGAAGTTCAAGGACAAGGCTAATAGTCAGAGGAAACCCAGTGGATTGGGTGTTCCGGATAGTGACCTTAATTTCAGTGACAATGAAGGTCAGTCAGAACAGCCTGACCAAAATCCTATAACGTTTCTCAAGCGTCCAAGTGACGGAGCAGGGGATGGATTTGTCACTTCCATCAGAGGCCTTTTCAATACTCAACGTCGCAAGGCCAAGGCATTCGTACTGCGAACCATGAGGGGTGAAGCAGAGAATGATTTCCAAGGAGACTGGAGTGAAAGTGATGCAGAGTTCTCTCCATTTGCTAGGCAGCTCACTATAACGAAAGCTAAGAGACTTATCCGGCGGCACACGAAAAAATTCCGTTCAAGAAAAGGTTTGTCAAATTGTTCACTTTCGTAAAATGGTCAATCACTTCGTCGCCTTCTTTTGTCCACTTGTCCTTTTTATTCTTCCCCAAGGACGTAGAAAATAACATAAAGCATGGCCTGTTCATTCTTAGGGATGCCATTTAGTTGGACGATAAGTAGGTGATCCTATAGAAACTGTCTTTGTCTGTCCAACCTCCCCTTTTTCTGGCAATGTTGGATGCCTAGTTTGATGATTTTTATCATTGAAACTGAAATCACTTCTACTTCTTCTCGTCTTTGTAAGGTTCATCCTCACAACAGAGAGATTCACTCGCATCCTCACCAAGGGAGACCACTGCATTCGAGAGCGATTCTTCGAGTGGATCCTTGCCCTACGAAGATTTTAATGAGGGAAACATTTTGTCCTCCACAGAGGTTCCTTGAAGGCGGTTTTAAGAATCCCCCCGGTTGAGAAGGGGAGTAAAATGAGACAAAATATTATTTGTTCAAGTCGGGTGGCTACTATAGAAAGAAGGATTTCAGGTGCCATGTTCATCGTCCAACGACGCACGAGGAAGATTGATGCATCCCTTGGTATCGCTTCTAGACCATGCATTTGTGCAGCAGAAGACAGACTAACTTCAAGCAATGCGGGTTGAAGCCACGCGTTAAAAGTATATACTTTTCTTTTAAGAGTTCCTATTTTTATTTTTTTTCAAAAATTTTGAAATTAAGTGGGTAACAAAGGAAATATACACCTAGAAATAAATAAATAAAAAATGAAAGATTTGAGCATCTCCAATAGAGTGTCTACAACTGTATGGTCACTAAATATATGGATAAATGACTTTTAATGGGTCGGATTTGATGTCCTCAAAGTATCTTAATATATAAGAATTTGCCAAATATTTTAAAGAAATTTACAAATATGAGAACTCAGACTCTATATTAATTTCGAGTTGGAATGTTGCTTATTATGTTTTTTTCCTTGTTTTTAGGACCCACCCACATGGCAAAACTTCTCATTTTGCTTTTTTTTTTTAATTTTTTTTTTTCAATGTTGTAAACTCTTGAAAAATCAATGGTACTAGAGATATCTTTTTTATTTTTATCAATGGGCATGATACTCCAACGAAAGGAGTAATAATATTTTGGTCTCTACATTTTGGGATGATACTGTAAGGATTTACAATTGCAGACAACATTTTTTTAGGGACTCAAATATTCTTTTAAAGTTACTAAATGAGTCCTCAAAGTTTGTGGTGGGAGTCCCTATATAGAGGTGCTCTAAAGAAAAGAGAAAAATGTTAGAAAATAGGGTTGCCTCCGCATAATCAATTTATTTAATCTGTGGAGACAGTTGAAGTTCGGTAGTTAGATCAGTGATTACTTAAGAGTCATTGAGCCATTCATCTTGAATGTGTACCATTAAGCTCACTTTTAATATTAACATTTCTAAGTGAGTGAGATAAGGCCTATTCAATCGAGATTTGCAATTTCATGAAAATAACTTCTAACCTCGAACTGAATGGTAAAAACTTTTGCCATCGCTAAGAACTTTTTTGAGAATTTGATTGTCATGAAACGTCTTTGTTTTTGCAGAATGAAGATGGGGGATGGCGATTGCATATTGAGGGGCCAAATACCATGTGTTTGGAATGTTTTGGTTCTTCATTAAGATGTAAATAAATTTTGATATGGATGAGAATATATTTTAATATATTTCACACATTTTACATAGTTTTAAAACCCATGTCATCGCGTGGGCTCAATTTCTAGTGTATTACTATATTTACATTAGTTCATGTAATATTATTAATTGCATGTCCCCTATATGTTTCTTTGACATCTTATTTTAGTTCCTCATGAACCATGCGTCACATACATAAGTGAAGGCCAAGATACCACTGTGTGCGTGGTATTTATAAACATCTTATTTTAGTTCTTCATTAGATTCATCCCTAGAGATTCATCTCAGACCCTCCAACCTATCCCACAACCAGGTGAGTTGTGACTAATTGATCCCATTCACAAACTCGACGAACACTAAACGGATAATAAGTCGTGTATAAGTTGATGGTTTACTTTCTATATGTAAACATGTTGCAAGTTTTGGTACAAATTCGTTGATCTTATCATCATTTTTCCCCTACACTAACAGATCGCTTTCTCTTCCAGAACTCTCTCTCTATATATAAATATATGTATGTACATACGTATGATCTCATTTATAAAGAAATGCAGCCTGGAATTATATCGATGGGGCTATGTATGTCCTTTTGTTCTCATACATGATCATGAAAAAAGAAATAGATCAAGAGTTAAGTAATATAAATCTAAATTTGGTCTCGTACATGATCTTAAAAAGATGAATAGATTATTAATATAATTCTCAATTGCATTAAATAATACTCGCTACCTTGAATACATTGTTAAATTAATAAAAAGAGCAAAAGAGAGACGAGGCTCACAATACCATTTGGTATCTTACAAATCAAAATGTATCAGCTAGCCGCCACCTGTCGCCGGTGAAACCAAAGTGCCTACGTACATAACCATTACTCCACGCCCAGACGAAGACGAAGCTCTCAATTTTTCAACATCAGAATTGTCGAGCACATTCCTGCATGTATCTTCCTTAGGCATATATGATACCAAGTCACCTCGATCCGATTCCATCAAAAGTGCACCATCGTCGAGGAATAAAGGATTCAACGACCACACATTAGGAGGGAAAATCTCCGGGCGAATTTTTGCAAAAATAGTCCAAGATTGATCGACGCCATATTCCATCATCACCCACATGGTAAGGCCAGTGTCCCAAAAGTCAGGCAAATTTTGGGAATCAGGGCAGAAAGTGTGAAAGAATAGACGATTTCCAGTAGTCCCCACTCGCGCCCAATTACATTTGTTATGCCTAATAAAGGAAAACGAATGAAATTTCTCCTGTGCGAAATCAAAGGACCTGATTATTGTCCCGTTATCGTGTCTATGATTCCAATGTAGAGCTCCATTTAAGAAGCACCCTCGTCCATCAATACCAAACGAGGCCGCAGGCTTGAGGGAGTCTACAACAATCTTCCATGAAGCCGCTTTGAGTGAGAAGATTGCAGCAAATCTATCTTTGGCACTTATACCGCCCAAAAGGACCTTGTAGTCTTGAGTGGTGGAATCGTAGCCGAATCCGTAATAACATGGTCTGAAAAAAAACCAATCAATGTCCGGTACCTTACGGGCTGTTCTGGTACTAGGGTTCCACAAGAGAAGTCTTATATTTTCATAGTATTCCTTATAGTATTCAAGTGGAGGGTTAAGTAGTAGGCAGATGAGACCATTGCAAGAACCCACAAGTGATGAATCGTTGAGGCTAGTATCATCTGGAAATTCAGCTTCAACGTCTCTATGGTTGCTTCGTATCGCTGATGAAGAGGCAGAGGTGCAGGCGGCAACATTCGTCTTCAGTGATTGGTAGTCAATCAGTAGGGGAGATACAGAGGGGGGTGGTGGCGGGGCTGGCGGCGGCCAGTACGGTTTCGTGAGAATCAGGACATTCTTGTTGCTGTCGTTGGTATGTGCTCGGTGCTTGGCCACGAACTGGGGAGTAGTGATTAAGGCGCGCCATGACTTGCATACACAACGGAATCGGAGGAGAGATACGACCGGTAGCCATGAAAGTATCTCGACGATTATATCGTCATTGTTGGAGGACAAGATCGGCAATTCTCCATCATCACCCGCCATAATAGTAGAAAGCGAATGGCTGAAGTTTCGCACGTATTGATCGTTAGGGTTACAATATAAATGTAAATATATAGATATAGATATATTTATTGTGTGTGTATATATATATTAGGAGTCCTATATATGTTTGTTCTCACAGAGAAAGGATAAATACAAATATGACTCCTACTAAATATAGGACTCCTAATATATATATATATATATATATATATATATATATATATGCTTGTTCTCACAGGGAATAGATAAATATATATGCTTGAACTAATTGGATTAGGCGATTTCACATAAAAAGAAGAAAAGAACTTCTTTTTTTTGTTTTTTTAAATTAAAAGCAAAAAAAAACTTGAATTAATTGAATGTTGTTGACGAACAAAAGAAAACAAATTAAAAGTCTACAAAAAAACCGTAATAGCCATATTAATGTTGGTGGCATGGTGTTGTAAATAAATTTAAATGTATGAACATCTTTTATCTTACATGACATCAAATTCAAAATTTAGGTTTTATTTAGATGTTTTAATATAGGTGGGTTTATGTCTAGAGTTCAACAGTTGTAAGAGGCTAAATCTAAAGCACCCTAAAAAGAATAACTTGTGCAGAGTTGATTAGGGTTTTAGGTAGCCGACGGCAAGAAACAGACTTGTTGTGAGGGGTTGATTAGGTAGCTCATGCAAGAAAGAGACTTGTAGGAAAACAATAAAAATGGGGGTATATTTGGCAATCAATAGGTGTTTGGACAATTGGGCTCAGGGCCTACATCATTGGTGTTCAAACTCAAGCACATGTATAACATTAAAATAGAAAGCCCAATCCAAAACAAAAATATCCATGACTAATTTGTATCTTCTGCCTTGCTCTACGTTTTAGCATCGAGGCAAAAGATACATCCGTTTGACATTCCTATTTCATTCTAATTGTAACACGAGAATTTGTTTCAACACGTGGAGTGATGCCATCGCTTGTGTTAAATACTCAAAAACTTCCCCAAAACATGAGCACAAGAGCTGTCTCTGTAACCTCTCAAATTTGACGAAGCCTAAAACCATATATAGCAGTTTACTTGTTCATACTAATTGTACTTTCACACAACAGAAATCTTCTAGTGGCAGTTGGTTCTTACAGTAAAGAATGAATCTTCAAGGAAGAATGAATAAAACTGAATTACCGACCTCCATGTGTTACAGCAGCGAGAGGTCAAACAGCAACTAAAGGATCCTATCGGAATTTATTAGGTTTATTTAAGAAATTAATTAGAGATTTGATTTGATTTTGTAGTAGGGTATTTTGGCACTTACACATTAGAGTGTTTGACCAGTAATACTATCATAAAAGAACATGTATGCAGTGCATGGAATCTAGCTTGCCTTATATCAACCGTTTGTTTGGTAATAAAGAGGCTTGGGTTTGTGTATCTTGCCTTGGCAAATCAATATTTGCTTGCTCAACATTTATTTTTAACACTGTATGTAGAGATCTATCCTCTCAAGATTCATTTAACCGAGGCAATGTACAGAATGATGTGGGGATATTTATTCCCAGAAGAAGAACAAGATTCACAAAGACGGCAGGTATGTTGGCCATGTTACTGATTTCAAATTTGTGACTGCTAGATCTTTTCAGAGGTATAAATGGTTGTCCAATTGGTCACATGCAGGAAGTTTGGAAGGTTTCAACAACTGCTGGTGCGAAACGTGTGAAGAAAGGCTCATTAGTCCCAGAGATTTCTGCATTAAGCGGTCAGACAAATAAAGAGTCTGAGGCCTCATCCAAAGCAAGTGCCTCTGCCCCTGCTACCAGTCAATCCTCCGTTCGGGCAGATCCTCTGCAAGTGAGATTCCTTCTCTTCTTTCCTTGAATTTTTTGGGCTAGTTTTTTTATGAAACAATATGATTACCGCTTCCTTATTTTCCAGATTATCATTATAACAGATTAATGGATGCCTTTTTTCATTTTAATTGCACGGTTACCTTAAATCAACATTTGATGTAATTCTATTTGCCGCAAGGGGCTGGTTGTTTAGTTTTGTAAGTTGAGTTGAAGAAAACAGAGGGTCCTAAATTTGAAGAGCTCTCGGTTAATTTCCCTAAATCTGTACATAGATTCAAATATAAATTTTGAAATAAATGAATGTCGAATCTCACCCTCCTAAACCATTGGCTTCCCGTGACTAAGCCAACGTTATCCGTCGGCAGTCTTTCCCTTAATTCTATGTTATCTCTAAACTACATTTATATCCTTTTAAGTTTGGGGTGGTTTTTTAAAATGTGTCATGCGGTTTTAATTTTCTCAAATTGCAGTATGAAGTTTTGAAATTGTTGTAATTTATGCATTTTTATTTGAATATTCATCAAATTGATGACATTATGAGCATAATACTCGTAATAGGATTGATATGCAAGTTACATTGCATGCGGTCCACCACTTTCAAAACGAGTCTTGGGTTTCAACCCATTCCCTTTCAGGATCGAAACGCCCTCTCCTAAATTGTTGTAATAGTTTCAAACTCTCTTTCATTAATAATAATTGTTTAAAAAATAATAATATGTAAACTACATCTACACCACATTAATTAAAAACTCATCAATTGAACAGAGAATTACAAGTTCAAATAAACAAAATGTGTAAATTGATATAATTTTAAAAGCTCAAGGTGTAATGTGAAAAAATTTGAAACCTAGAGACTCATTTTGAAAAGCAACTCAAATACATAGGGTCTAAAGTGTAGTTTGGACCCTTTTTTTTTTTATTATTTTGACAAGTATGACTTCCTGCTCACATGGAAACCTTGATCTTGTACCGTTTAGAGGTGGTAAATCAACTCATTGGGTTGTTAATAGGTACATTTAAGACCCGTTTAATTTGATATTACCATAATATAGAGGTGAGAATGGTGGTGGTGGTGGTGATAGTACAAGGTAAAATTAAACTAAATGGATCTCAATGGGTACCCATTGACAATCCAATTGGTTGATTTGCCTGGTACTGTTCATTTAAAATTTTTTTTTTGCAGGACTATAATTCTGAATAGGGCAATACTAAACCCTTTCTGTTGAAGATGGCCTAACAACCTACAATGGCTATATTGTTTCCGTTTGAGTAAATTTTGATCAAGCTTGGTCGTACTTCTTCCTTCAAGAGTAATCTCACTGTGATACAACACACAGAAGTATATATGCATTCAAAGAAAATAGCTAGGACCTACAATACGAGCAGATATTATAGATGACAAAAGTGGACAAACCATATAGAAATTACAATGAATGAACAGAAGTGAAGGATTAATATAAACTAATAAGGTCTAAATTACTTTTACAAACGCTCTATAGAATAAAGATGTCCAAGTCTAGTTTCTTAGCTATTTTGATCCCAAGGTACTGCAGTATCTTTCATATGACTAATGAAAAATAAGTTAGACTTAAAAAACAGAAGGCTGGACGGGAACGAGTATTCCTTTTAACATTTTACACATCACACAATGTGTCCGTATAAAATCACTTCTTGGTATAGAAGCACCTCATTGTATTTATCAACCTCATGAAAACAACTACGTTCAGTAACAAAAATTCCTTAATGACTTTGTCTTAAACTATTTCTTAACTAAATCAGATATACCAATCTAATAAAAAAATTAGAAAACTTCATTTTAATCCTTGACAAAGATAACTTTTAAATTAAAATCATGAGTAAGATCAAAATCTAATTTTAGTCCCTTGATACATTACTAACCTCATTTATTAATTGTATTTTTATTTTTTAATTATTTCTCTTTTTCTTCCTAATTTTTAATGTATTAATTTTAGAGAAAACTAGATTTTAATCCCTAAATAAGATGAAGTTTAGAAAAATGTCTTATACAAGATTAAAAATTGATTTTAGTCCCTATACTCTATTATATGCCAGCATATGTATTCAATGTCTCTTTTTTTTATTTATAATTTTATGGTGTTCATAAATTAAATTTTATGAAAATATTATAAATTTTAATTCTCATTATGGTGAGTATCTATCTTATATAAGAAAATATTTTCGTAGAGATTTTTTTTTTACACTTATATTTTTGCATATTTTCTTATGTGCCACTAATTCATTACAATACATTTTTGTACGAACATTTTGGTACACTGGGTTAGTATAATATATATGTTTAGGTGCTGACATTTAGGTACACTAGTTTAGTCTAATATATTTAGGTATCGACATTTCGGTACACAAGTTTAGTATCATATAGTTAGATACGGAATTTTCAGTACACTTATATTTTTGCATATTTTCTTATGTGCCACTAATTTACTACAATATATTTAGGTACAGACATTTCGATACACTAAATTAGTAAAATATATTATGATACGAACATTTAGGTACACTAATTAGAGGAATTTAAATAAAATTAATGAATTAAAATGTGTGTAATAGTAAATTTAAAATTTAATGCAATGACATTAAATAAGATATCTATTAAATATTAAAACAAAAATATAATATAAATTTGAATTGAGTACACATTAGGGATTAAAATCAATATCCAATCTAACACCAAATTTTTATTAAATTTTAATCTTCTGGTAGGATTAAAGTTCAAAAATCCCATAAATATATAAGAGAGGAACAAGAAGTTTACGAAGCTTGTGGGTATAAAGAATAATAATAATAACCACTGGTCCACGAGAAGAAGGTTTTAAATCTTAATTTGCAGAAGCACGTAGCATGTAAAGATGGTGTAAAAAGAATGATTTATGCATGGTTGATTAGGGTTTAGGTAGCTAACGGGAAGAAAGAGACTTGTATGCAAATTAGGTAGCTCACGGGAAGAAAGAGGCATGTAAAGATGGTGTAAAAAGAATGATCTATGCATGTTTGATTAGGGTTTAGGTAGCTCACGGGAAGAAAGAGACTTGTTTGGAAATTAGGTAGCTCACGGGAAGAAAGAGGCTTGCATGAAAACAATGACGTTGGGTTTATAAATAGGTCGATTGACCTTTGACAACCAAACCACCTTCAGACTCGGTCGGAGGCTTACGTTTACTGTTCCCAGCTTACACACCTCATCAAGTTCCTCTTTTTTTTACCTCTCTTTTTTTACCATTTCAACACTGCACAATGGTGATGAAACTGGCTCTCTTTTTCGTTTGAGCATTCTTGATGCTGATACAATATTCCTCCTTCCACACTGCACCATAGTGTGGAAGTGTGGAAGGAGGAATATTGTATCGGCATCAAGAATGCTCATCTCTCCCAACTGTATGATCAGCATAATATGGCCACAGTTGAGTTTCAATATCTTTGCACGGAGCCATGAATAACCTGTGTGAAAACGGGTCATACTCCATGCAATGATCAGTACCAGACCCCTATAATTTTAACCATCTTAGAGTCAATTGACTTGCCAAAAGCCCAAAATTGGCTTGACCGCTGCTGATCTTTAAAAAATACCAAACTTACAAAATTACTTGCAGTCAAGAACAAATTCGTCCTGCTCTCAAACATCGAGAGAGGACAAATGTTCTTGACTGCAACTAATTTTGTGAGGTGTTCAAAGATCAGCAGCGATCTGGGCAGTTTTGGGTTTTCGGCAAGTCTCGACCCTATGATGGTTAAAATCATAGGTTTGGTTGTGATTATTGCATGAAGTTTGATCCGTTTTCACACAGGTAAAACTTGGTAATCCTTGTGTGGATCTGCAATGTTTCTCTTTCAAAACAACTTTTCTACTTTGAAAAAATAGTCCATGGATCTGCAAATAAATACCTTTCTACTTTGAAAAAAACATAAATCAGTGCCTTGTATGCAGGAAATCCCGGATCCATGACAGATCTTTGAGTAAGGGTCTCAACTCCAGATCCATTGGACGAGAAGTTATAACAAACCTTGAATGTCCCATATCCATAGATCTGGAAGGTATAAAACTCATCCCTGCATTCACATTCACATACATTGTTAATTGAAATATTGTAGATCTTAAAATTAGTGCTCGGATTGATGTTGATCATATGTATCTGTGATGTATCTGTATTCTGCATCCATGTAGTGTAAATCTGCTTTTCTTTTGTGTTGCTGGTGGGTATAGATGACTGGAATAATAAATGGAAAAAAACGCAAATATGCATCAATACTCGACAGAAACGTTACACCAAAATGAAATGAATGTTTTGAAATGCAAATCAGTCGAGAGATTTACTAAGTCAGTTACCTGCTTTGCGATAGCTTCCCTCTCCCTTCTTGATTGCTAGGTGCGGATCCATGCATTGTACTTCTTTTTTATAATTTAATTATCCTCTTGGAAATTTCTGTCAAGATATTCATTTTTCTGCATTTTAAAATTAAAGTGTAGTTTTTGGAGTGAACACAATGTAACAATGGAATCAACTTTCATGTTTCAACATAATCGATTTATTTAATCTGTAAAGACAGTTGAAGTTCGGTGGTTACATCAATGATTATTTAAGAGCCATTGACTTGTCAAAGGATGACTCTAAGTACGTTCAACTTGTGGCCATTCATCTAGAATGTGTAACATTAAGCTCACTTTTAATAGTAACAGCTCTAAGTGAGTGAACCTAGAAACAAGATAAGGCCTATTCAACCGAGATTTGAAAATTCATGAAAATAACTTCTAATCTCGAACTGAATAGTAAAAACTTTTGCCATGGCTGAAAACTTTTTTGAGAATTTGATTATCATGAAACGTCTTTGTTTTTGCAGAATGAAGATGGAGGATTGCGTCTGCGTATTAAGGGGCCAAATACCATGTTTGTGGACTGTTTTGGTTCTTCATTAAGATGTAAATAAATTTTGAAATGGATGAGAATATATTTTAATATATTTCACACATTTAACATGGTTTTAAAATCCACGACATTGAGCGGGCTCAATTTCTAGTGTATTACGATATTTATATTAGTCCTTGTAATATTATTAATTGCATGTCCTCTATATGTTTCTTTGACATCTTATTTTAGTTTTTCCTGAGCCACGTGTCACATACATGAGTGAAGGCCAAGATGCTATGTGTGCGTGGTAGTTATAAACATCTTACTTTAGTTCTTCATGAGATTCATCCCCAGAGATTCATCTCAGACCCTCCAACCTATCCCACAACCTGGTGAGTTAACCTGTTGGAAATTATTAGGTTTATTTAAGAAATTAATTAGAGATTTGATTTGATTTTGTGGTAGGGTATTTTGGCATTTACGCATTAGGGTTCTTAGGTTTATTTCACTATAAATAGAGCTTGCAATTTAGTTTGAGAACAAGTTAGTCAAGATGCAGTCTATTCGAGTTATATAGTCATCTCGGTATTTTCGATTATAAAAAGTATTTTTCTTAGTTTTATATTGTTGGCCTCTGACTTTTAACATGGTATCAAAGCATGTTTAATCGTTTGGGGTTGAATCTGTTCTTAGTAGCTAGTTTGTTTGTCTTGTCACGTTCCTCTTCTTCGTGTCAGTTTGTGTTTTAGTTTGCTCGGTATCAGTTTTGTTAAGGTTTTGTTTTTTTGTTTTTGTTTTTAAAAAGTTTAGTCTGTTTGCCCCAGCCTGCTAATACCATCGTATCATCCGCACTGCCGCCGTTACTCCGCTGCACCTTTGCACCTCAAGACTACCACTGCCTGACCCGTTTGTGTCCATATTCGACTGAGACCTTGACCAACTACCATCGTATCATCTCGCGCCTGACCTGCTTTTGTCGAAGTCAGTTACCTACTTTGTGATAGCTTCTCTCTCCCTTCTTGATTGTCAGGTGCGGATCCATGCATTGTACTTATGTTTTTGTAATTTAATTATCCTCTTTGAAATTTCTGTCAAGATATTTATTTTCCTGCATTTTAAAGTTGAAAAGTGTAGTTTTTGGAGTGAACACAACGGAACAATGGAATCAACTTTCATTTTCTAAAGACCGGCTCCAACCTTGTTGATGAATTTCGTTCTCAATTTTAATCGGTTATCTACTTCAATCCATTTTTCTAAGCCTAATTAGTTAATGCAATTAGCGCTCTTTCATGTTTAAATATGCTAAATACTTTAGATTTGAGATTTTGTGTGTCAAGACGGAGAAACTTTTCTACAAAAAGACCATCTGTCCATTTATGCATTTGTTTCTAACTTTATGTTATTCCTTTTTATTGTTCTGATATTTAGCAAAAGCATCCTTTAACAAATCCAATTGTCATTTGTTCACATCAACTTCAATTTTTCCAATTTGTAACAATGAAATGAAATCGTCTACATATCAGAAGAAAGGAGAAACAACGTGAAGAAACAAACCATTGGATTCTGGAAATTCAACACTACTCATTGGTTCTTATTGTAGATAGGGTTGTAAATAGATTTCCCCATGTATACAAGTAGTAATGCTAATCATTTATGTTTAAAACTTTTTACATGTTTTATACAATTTCAAAACCCGCAGCACCGCAAGGGGCACGCTTACTAGTAAAACCTGGACCCAATATGCTTGATCACAGTAAACACCGGACAAAATTATGAACAAACTGGACTTGCATAGTGGGCCCTTTTGTATTCCAGTACAGAAGCCTCAAAGTATCTTAATATATAAGGACTAAGCAATGTTGCCCACGCGTTGCAGCATGATTAAAAACTGTGTTGATTACTATGCTTGAAAAACACAGAGATAGTCGAAGAAAACAATAAGATAAATTTAGATATACAAAACACTATAATCATTCACTGCGGTTCATTGCTTTGATCCAATTTTCAACTGGGACCAGCATTTGTACACAGAAGATAAGAAAATGCTGGACTATGTACATACAAAATATTAGAAATGCTGGGCTAGTACCTGCAAAAAATATTGTCTAACCTAGATTAGAGAGAGTTATTTACATACCAAAAAATAAGAGAAACATTGTTCGATGTATATAGATTACAGGTGCGAAAGTAACATTTGTTCTGTTCAAAAGGAAGATTCAACTTCTTTGTGCAGCAGAATGGACAGGAGAAAGTTGATAATGATTTGAAATAAACAATATAAGCAAGAGTTATTTCAAGTAAGAAGCTAGAAAAAGACAGTGAGATAACATTTGGCAACTATTTTTCAGTTAAGGCAGAAACAGATAAAATACGTTGGAGGAAAATTAAATGAACGATAGGATACCAATTCAAAACGAAGCATGTGCTAAAATCATGTTGGTATGTTTGCCTCCTCTCTCCCTTTTGCGTTGGGATGTATAAGTTTGTAAGAAAGGGAAAGTAGAGGAAAGTTTAATGATATAAACAAACAATAGAACAGATCATATAAGTTCCCTATAATGAAAGCTATAATATGCACAAAATGTAACTATTAGTAATGATAACCAATGTAATCAAACATAAATAAAATGGTATGATACAGTTTTATTCTTTTTCACAAAGCTCTAAGGTTCGAGTCTTATGAAATGCCGAGTTTGATACAAATTATTATTGATGGAATTGATAGTTTTATTCTCTTTTCCAACATGATTCAAAGAACCTCAATCTACTATCTTTAACGATTGAAACTATATTGTAGGGTGTTAAATCTTTAGTATTAATTTGAAGACTGAAAATAAAATAATTTGAAGCTAAATTGATTAGTATTAAGCTAAGCCTCAAATATTCTTCAGCAGATACAATCCAAAATTAAGACAAATTCGAAAGAATTGAGCCTTACCTGATCAGTGATAAAACAATGGGCTGAGAAATACGATTTCAAATTGAATTTGAATGATGACAGCCACCTTTTTCCCTGAGTTCAAAGGTGGAAATTGAACAAAATACACTAAAATTTGAGTAATACAATTCAAATTTCAAACAAAGGGGTAAATTTTCATACATGCAACTCAACAAATAAGATTTTTACCACGATTATTCAAGAACTAATTACCAAAAACAACTATCTAAGGTTCATACCTTTAGTCTTTGTTCACTCATTATTTTCTCAGTAAATCAACCATTTGTTCTTTATCAATGTCCAAGGCCTGTTATATAGAAGGCAAACGGAGCATAAAAAATTAACTGGGTTAGCAATATGTAACTTAAATATACTTAAGAAAGCATATTTAATTCAAAACCAAGAAATTAAAAGATATCTAAATCATGTAGAAAGTCATAATACTAATAATTAAGACAAATTAGGACGACTTTGCTTGAGATCGGAATGCTATACCCGCTTGAACTCAAGAACTAAACAATCCCAGTGAGTCTGAAATTGAGAGATACCCATTAAACATTTCAATGAATTGGGAGATACAGGTTTAGCACTTTGCTTCCTAATGCATGTTTTCTTACATGCCTTTTGATATAAATAATGAGATTTTTTGCAGCTCACAGCTCTCTCTCTCTCTCTCTCTCTCTAAGGATGTGTATATGTGAGACAGGTTTAGCACTTTGCTTCCTAATGCATGTTTTCTTACATGCCTTTTGATATAAATAATGAGAATTTTTGCAGCTCACAGCTCTCTCTCTCTCTCTCTCTCTCTCTCTCTCTCTCTCTCTCTCTAAGGATGTGTATATGAGAGATAGGTTTAGCACTTTGCTTCCTAATGCATGTTTTCTTACATGTCCCTTGATATAAATAATGAGGTTTTTTGCAGCTCACAGCTCTCTCTCTCTCTCTCTCTCTCTCTCTCTCTCTCTCTCTCTCTCTCTCAGCTCAAACACGCACACATAAACAACCACATTGTTAGAAAGCTGAAGAAACACTAGAATTTAGTGAGTCTGAAATGTTAAGGTTGACATTTAGGGTTCTCTTTCTTTTCTCTCAGCTCACACACGCACACATAAACAACCACATTGTTAGAAAGCTGAAGAAACACTTGAATTTAGTGAGCCTGAAATGTTAAGGTTGACATTTAGGGTTCTCTTTCTTTTAGAGGCTAGAAGATATCTGGATCTGCATCAAATTTCAATTTTTGTGCCCAGATTTAGTGCCCTGTACGGTTTGGGTTGTGCTAAAAGATGATTGTTTATGTTGGAGTGGTTTAAGGGAATGTCCAATTGAGTTGAGCAGTTTTTGTTCATTCTGTTAAGGTGAGCGTCTTTGGAGGTATTGTGGGTATATTGTCCGAATTGGGGTTTTTAAAGTTGAAATTTAATCTGGGATTCTGAATTTTTTTTTACAACTTAGTAATTTGTGGAGTTATTCTTAGTTTTTATCAAGAAATTTGATTTAGGTTTCATATATTTTGTGAAATTAGATACCTTTTTGTGAAGATTTTTTTTTTCATATATTGTTGTGGTAGTTAAGGTAATTTACGTGTCTAAAAATGCTCGAGAGTTGAATGTGACCAAGTAAGCAGATCAGCCCGTAAACCTGAAACCAAAAGAAGCTCAAACCCTGATAATTTGATGGTTAGCCCTGTTTTCAGATTTGTTTGCTTCAGTTAATTTTGTTGTAAATTAATTAATAACATATTTGAGCGAAACCCTGTTGGTTATTGTGCTTTTTTTTTCTTTTTTTCTTTTTTTTTTTTTTTTTAAATAGGTAATAACATGTATTTTCTCTTCTTTGCATTTAGAAGTAATCAACCTTAGTTATGCGACTCAAAATCCAAGGCGGCTTCTGGACCTTATCCTCAGGAAGGTAACATTTTTATTTCTTTTCCTTATCATTTGATCGGGTTTTGCGTTTACGATTTCAAGTTGGTGCCATTAAGCTATCACCCTCAGACCTCAAAATTCAGGTAACCCCATGATTTTAATATTGCTTCTCCTGTTTTGTCCAATTATTGTTCTATTAATTGGATTCTTTAGTTAAATAATGATTAATTAGAATGTCTAGTAAAAAAACTCAGGCATTGCAGTGTTTGAAATGATAATATAAATCTAATTTGGCCATTAGCCAATCGGAGAACCTTATTTGGGAAGTAGGTTTTAAAGTTTCAATAGTTTCGTTGTGTGTAATTTTTTGTGCTTTGCCTACTGGAAATCTAATAACCAAAGGCTTACTTGTGTTTCTCAAATAGTTTTT